TAACCAATACCCATTTGATTTTAGGTAACAAAGGAATACCGCTTCGTACTAATCTGACCGTCATCCCAGGTGAGTACCGTGTCAAGGAAGCCAAAATAGATAATAACCCAACGATGGTATGTTTCATTAACAATAGTGAGCACAAAATTCAAGATGACGAAATTGAAATCGAAAACCCAAGTTTAACTGATAGAGTCAAAGCGTTAAAAACAAAAATTAGATTAGATCATGTAAAATCACGATTACGGGAATCGTTAGAAAAAATAATTCTCTCTTATAGTTCAGCTTTTTCTATAGACACAGACCCTTTACCTTGTACCGAGCTGACATCCCATCAAATTGATGTTAAAAACACCAAGCCTATTAATGTAAAGTCCTATCGACCAACTGAATGTAACAGAAATCAAATTAAACGACAAATTAACAAAATGCTAGATAAAAAAAAATAATAGAATCATTCTATAGTACTTATAACGCAACAGTCTGGGTAGTGCCCAAAAAATTAGACTCAACAGGCAAACTAAAATGGCGAATTTTTAGAAAACTCAATGAAATTACAGACCAGGACGCTTATCCTTTGCCCTACATAGATACGATTTCGTCTCAACTCGGAAACGCAAAGTTCTTCTCGACCTTAGATCTCTCATCCGGATTTCATCAAATAACGAAGCAACCAAATTCAAAAAAATATACTGCTTTTTCAACACCTGAAGAATATTTTCAGTATAATCGAATGCCGTTCGGACATAAAAAGGCCCCGGCGACTTTTCAACGATAAATGGGCAGAGCACTGAAAGAAGTAACTGGCAAATATTGTTTCGTATATCTTCACGATATAATCATTTTTGGACAAACAAGATTCAAGTACACAATACGAATCTAGCGATAATAATCCAACGCCTGACAGAATTACTTAAATATAAACTTAAAAACTTAAAGTTAAACCGGATAAATGTGAATTTTTAAAACCTGAACAAGAATATTTGAGCCACATATTATTAGTAGAGACGGAGTAAAACCAAATCAGAAAAAAATTGAAGCTGTAAGAGAATTTAGGTCACCCAGGAATCTCAAAGAAATTAAACAGTTCTTAGGTCTAGCCGGTTATTACAGAAAATTTATTCAAAATTTTGCAAAAATAGCTAAACCATTATCGAAATTAACAAAAAAGGACGAACATTACAGATGGACTGATGAGCAGCAGATAGCTTTTGATACACTCAAACTTAAATTATGTGAGGAACTAGTTCTAAAATGTCCTGACTTTAATAAAGAATTCGTACTACCGACGCAAGTAATGAAGGATTAGGAGCATTATTGTCTCAAGACGGATATCCCTGTTATATATCGCGGACACTTAACGATGCAGAAACACACTATACGACAGCTGAAAAAGAAATATTAGCGGTAGTTTGGGCTGTACAAAGACTAAGACAATATTTGTTAGGACGAAAGTTTAAAATTAGGACAGACCACCAAATATTAAAATGGTTAAATAATATCAAAGACTATTTTGAAGGCTAATTAGGTGGAGACTTAGATTAGAGGAATACGAATACTAAATAGAATATCATAAAGGGAAAGATAATCTGGCCGCTGTCAATAAACATTACACAAGTCACGACATGAATAAACATTACACAAGATAAAACGACACTAAAAGGCAAGACCACAGACAAGTTCCTCGAATTAACAAATCAGACGATAGAATCGAAAGACAATGACGAAATTACGGAACCGAGTAATAGAATAACCAACACTGAAGATTATATAGGATTTTTAGTCAAGCAAGAGACACCTCCTAACTTTAAGGAAATAGTGAATCGAGACAGAATAAAACGAATTGATAGATTAGAAGTAGACTGCCCTAGAGAAATAGAATTATTGGCAAACTTAAAAGATAGAACCAAAATCTACACACAAACAGGAACATCAGATCATATGTTTTCAGAGAATCTTGTATAACAAATTAGTAAAATATTACAGTACTTAGCATTTAAAGACCCAATAGACATTACACATTCTCACGCGAACTAATAATACCCATTGACGAATAAACAAAAGAACAAATATTAAAGGAAAGCCACTTCAGAATTACAACACTTTGGAAAAAATAAAACACTAGCAAGAATCAAAGAAAAATACTACTGGCCCAACATGAACGAAGAGATAAAAGATATGATAAGTAAATGCGAGACTTGCCAACGTGAAAAATTGACAAGAATTAGACCCTGACGAGAACCAGCATTCATCCCTGACACAATTAAAGACCCAAATGACAAAATAGCTATGG